ACATCAGATAAACAGAATCACGCCACTGCAACAGATATGCAGCACGCTATACAACATCAGACAAACAGAACCACGTCACTGCAACAGATATGCAGCACGCTATACAACATCAGATAAACAGAACCACGTCACTGCAACAGATATGCAGCACGCTATACAACATCAGATAAACATAATCACGCCACGGCAACAGATATGCAGCACGCTATACAACATCAGATCATCATCTGTTCCCGCTAGTGCCCAATACACACGAGGCAGATGAAGTAGAGTGTCGTCATCTGCCAATGGTGTGTATACCTTCCGTCTCTGAACACACACGTGCCATTAATGATCACAACAAGAAACTAATCATGACTGAGTTCGCAGGTTTCATGACTTTAAAGTGACGTCAGTTAGGCAGACGATCTGTCAGTTTTCTGACAGACAAATCCAGATCATCATCCTCAGCGTCAGACGTCTCCACGGCAACCAATTACATCACACATCTGTTAAGTGTCTAGTGTCGTAACTTCCTGTTTACTCAAAGTCACCACAAGGGACGATACCTCCATGAGATGTCACGTCAATGGACGATAACTCCACGAAATTTACCCAGACAAGCGAGACTTTTACTACTAAATAAACTGTGACATCATGTGACAACCTAACGATGGTCAGCGAAGTAAATCTACGGTCAAATAATTAATGGTTGCTAAAAAAATTGACTAGCAATTGATTGCCGTAAACTAATTTGCAACAAGAATGTTGCAAAGACAAGACCAACCTAATTATAAACAGAGCTCAAGGTCCCGCCCACTCCTCCCCCCCCCTCCACTCTAACCCCTACACTACCTTGTCAACCATCAGCAAGTTTATAAACACAAAGGTGAGAGGTTTGATTGGTTTACCTGATGCTGAGTACCACTTCACGTTTCTACCACCTTCATGTAAACAATGGGATTGTTGTTGTTTTAGTGGGGGGAGGGGAGAAATATGGTCGTCAACTTTGTGTGTCTATATATATATATATATATATATATATATATATATATATATATATATATATATATATATATATATATATATATCGCATAAATATAAGTAGAAGAATTAAGTTCAATATAGCAACGATTTAGCCTACCAGTGAATGCGAGTGTAATCCTGATACATAATGTTGATGTGCTATCCAAAGATCGCCGTGTATTGTTGTATCGCCTAATGTATCCAGCTTCAAACAACAAGCGCACATAACCCCGGTTATCTCTCCTTTCTACCGAGTCGCTTCCCCTCTGCACACAAAAAGCTGGCCATTTGCCAGATTGTGTTATCTGTTTGGTAAGACTGGACAGATTCGAATCGAACTTTGCTTGAGATATTGATGTCTAACCTAAGCCAGGGAACGTTCGGCTGCTGACCGTTCATGTTTGAGGCTTGAATTGTCTGCGCACCAGTTACGTAAGGCAGCTATTGCGTCATGCTATTCGTGATTGTCTTGTACACTACAACATTAGAAAAGTGTACACTACAACATTAGACAAATGTACACCACAACATTAAAAAATGTACACTACAACATTAAAAAGTGTACTTTACAACATTAGACAAGTGTACACTACAACATTAGAAAAGTGTACATTACAACTTTAGACAAGTGTACACTACAACATGAGTGTACATTACAACTTTAGACAAGTGTACACTACAACATGAGTGTACATTACAACATTAGAAAAGTGTACACTACAACATTACAACAGTGTACATTACAACATTAGACAAGTGTACACTACAACATTAGAAAAGTGTACATTACAACTTTAGACAAGTGTACACTACAACATTAGATAAGTGTACACTACAACATTAGACAAGTGTACACTACAACATTAGAAAAGTGTACACCACAACATTAGACTAGTGTACACTACAACATTAGACTAGTGTACATTACAACATTAGAAAAGTGTACACTGCCATACTACAACATTAGACTAGTCTCCCTATTAGTCTATACCAAAATGATAGACCTATTTGATACAAAAAAAAAGATCTACCAAAGAGTACCAATGTCTTAAAACGAAACTAGACCTGGCCTGCCATTGACCCTGAATGCACACTCAAGGCAAAAGCTGGGTCAGCAGGGGCAGACAATCAATTTTTTCGATAACTCAGGTTATGTCCCTTTCACATTATTTTTGGGGCGTTGGAAGGATGGTGGATATGGGAATGGGAGGGCGGGGGTGGGGTGGGGGGGGGACTTTATGTTGGCTCAGAAAGTAATGTTAGGGACGAATAGAGGGGTAGGGGTGGGAATAGGTGGGGGAGGCTGAAACTTCTGTCTGTTCTGATGACGACGAAGAGATACAGATATGGACGGGTGGTGATTTAAAGACATGAGGGAGGGGAGGGAGGGCAGGGATTGAGGGTCAGACAATAAAATAGAAACAGATGAATAGAAACCAAAAGCCCACCCTTCCCCTTCCCGGCCTGGCGAATCTGAGCATTGATCAGTTTACCCTAGCCATTAACTAATGAAGGTCTACAGGAAAGTGTACAGGAAAGTATACAGGAAAGTCTACAGGAACGTGTACAGGAAAGTATACAGGAAAGTCTACAGGAAAGTATACAAGAAAGTCTAGTCTACAGGAACGTCTAGACAGTCTAGAGGAAAGTCTACAGGAAAATATACAGGAAAGTCTAGAATCTGCAAGAAAGTCTACAGGAAAGTCTACAAGAAAGTCTAGAGTCTATAGGAATCTAGAAACTACAGAAAAGTTTACAGGAAAGTCTTCAGGAAAGTCTAGAAAAAAAACTCCTACGGTAAAGTGCGAGTCAAATATCTCGAGACAAATAAAGTGCGAGTCAAATATCTCGAGACAAATAAAGTGCGTGTCAAATATCTCGAGACAAATAAAGTGCGAGTCATATATCTCGAGACAAATAAAGTGCGAGTCATATATCTCGAGACATGTAAATTCTATTATTAATTTTAAAATTTATAATGTTGCATTTTGTGTGAGCCCAATCTTAGTATTTTTAAACCTGAAAGCGAGGCCTAGAAACAAATAGCCGCTATGGGTTTTTTAAATTATCAATGGAAATCATGTTCCTGACAATTAATTTAATTAAAAAATGTATACCTCTCCATGGCCAACGAGATTTTAAGCGAGAGAGATTGAGACTAACAAGCCGCATTGATCCTAAATTGTTTCATCACCAGGTGATGATAAGCTTCTTGTATTTTAAATTATTAATGGAGGCATAATGTGCATTTTATTTTATTTTTTTTTTTTTTTCGTTCATCATCATCTTTTCCCTTTCGCGCCAAGATACATGGGACAGATGAAGTAGAGTTCATCTGTTTCAGAGACTTTGGCATAAGAAGGGATAGTGTAGTCATCACTGTGCCCATCAGCCTTTGCTTTCCCTGGCGTGTTAGGTACCCGTCAGAGCTGAGTTGACTCAAGGACATTCTACTGACTTGAACACAGATTCGAACTCAAGATTTTCAAATTTAGTAATTTAAATTCTTATTCTAAAAAATTAGTAGTTTTTAATTCGTTACAACTGTGCATACATTATTCGATTAATATACGTCGATTTAGACATTACAACCACTTTATTGATAACTCCTACAACAGAATAAACCATGAATATTTTCACGGTTACCCCCCTTGCATTGATTGTAGTGTACCGCACTTGTATGGTTGCCTGTCTAAAAATATAAAAGCTGTCTCCTGCTGACGTCAATCGTTCAACCAGGTTGAGAGTAACTTCAATTAATGCACCGTAATGTGACGTCATTGTCAAAAAGACCATGATTTAAAGTGAACCTCTTTTATTTTTCAGCAATCTAATCATATTTTCAGACACGTTGTATTATTTTTAAAATAACAATCTTAGTAAGAAGTATTTTTGACAGCGATCTTATAAATGTAGACTTTACAAGAGCGTGTTATTTTCTTACATTCTTAAGTAGGACAGGTTATAAATAGTTGTTTTTATCTGTTAATTGTTCCGTGACGTAGGTACGTCAGCTAGACAAAATTGTTTCTTCTAGTCATCTCTTCGGGGGGGGGGGGGGGGAGGATTCCTTCGTAGAGAGTCTACCGCCCCCCCCCCCCTTTCCCGAACGAAATGGAGTTTATATGGAAAATATATACTTTTAACAGTGTCCGTCCGTCGTCCCCCAACACCCCCCCCCCCCCCCCCCACCGTGAAAAAAGTCTGGAAGAAAAACTGCTAGATCTATTGTTTCATCCTTTCTTAAAATACACCATCATATACATAAACACTCTGTCTTGCTAGCACACACAAACATACACACAAACACACACACACACACACACACACACACACACACACATTCTTGCAAATACAGTTAATATAATGTCATGTTTCAATTCCGCCCGGTAATATTCACCGGCAGTAAAGTGTGAAACATCATATCAAATGTAAAAGATGAGATTACAATGTTTTCCATCTCAAAGTCATAGGGTGAGAGACTGAGAGAGCAAGCAATGACTTACTTCCCTTACTAGAATACAGCCGTTTTAATTGGTTGGTTGTGGCACAAGCGCCACATCGTCAGCCGGCCTTGGGGATTCCCCGCACTGGCTAAAGTACACAATATTCCGTCACATCAATGGAAGAATTGGTAAATCTGGGCGAAATGGTTCTTGTTGCCTGGTTGAAAACACCCAGATTTTATATTGTGTACATCCCACGTGACTTGTACCTGTTTGTGATTACATTGCTAGTAGTGTTTGTGTTTGTGTTTACATTGCCATCTGTGTTTGTGTTTATATTGCCAGCTGTGTTTGTGTTTGTGTTTACATTGCCAGCTGTGTTTGTGTTTACATTGCCAGCTGTGTTTGTGTTTGTGTTTACATTGTCAGCTGTGTTTGTTGAATAGAATGTTAACACAGTTAAATTGTAATACAGTAGTTATATCACCATCACATCCTGATGTCGCCAAAAATTAAAGATTGTCTAAGGACATATAAGAAAAACATCACTAAATATAGGCTAAGATGTTTATTTAAAAACAACTAAAGACCACCTAAATAACTGAAAGACAAGCATTACTAAATCAGCCAACATTATCAGACAACAAACAGCAAACTTTTACCAAAAGTGATCCCCAACAAACAGCAAACTTTTACCAACAGTGATCCCCAACAAACAGCACACTTCAACAAACAGCTAACATCAGCAAACTCATTCTTTACATTTAGCCAGGCAGTGTTTACGTCAACATGGTAGCTGTTTCACGACTCTATATCGCATGACGACTGACTCACGAAGGGCAAAAACTTTATTTTAAAACTAAAACTTTCCACACCTCTTATCTTAAGGCCTGCACAAGTCTCATGTATGTTCCTGTTGCTTTATTTGATTTGGTAGTTCAACGACTTATTAATGATACTAAACAAATCAACCTATGGCATGTTAAACATCTGTGTGGTGTATTATGGTGAGCAGTTACATCACGTGAAGTATGCTGGGAACTCAACTCATCACGTTTATCATCATACGCACTACAAGGAGGGTAATGTGCAGGGGGTAGTAATAGACAAAGGGGTAGTAACTGTGGCCCAGATCTCAAATGACACAAAAATGGTATTGATGGCCCAGATCATATGTGGCCCACATCTAGTATGGCCCAGATCTCAAGTAGTGAGATGACCGAAGCACGCGGTAAAATGAAGTTTACACAGTGCACTAAGATCGACTTAAAAGAATGACGATATTTTCGTCTTATTACTTGATGGAATGAAAAATCAAAATTTTTGATGGTTGGGTAAACTTTAAAATCAGAAATCAATGTCCCATTTCTGGCGATAATAGCAGACTTAGTCAGGTATTGACAGGTTTAATAATCAGGCAGTGGGTGAGGTAGAGGATGTGGGTGAGGTAGAGGCATGGGTTGAGGTAGAGGCATTAGTCGAGGTAGAGGCGGTTGGTGAGGTAGAGCCAGACGATGGGAAAAATTTTCCATGAAAGCTGAATGGGATGTGGGTGGGCATAACCGCGTGTGACGTCACTGCAAACGTTCTCGCGTCAATGATGCTCAAAGTCGCGCGCTTTCTGACACCATCGTGACCTTGAACTACCAAAACGCCGTCATCTTCCGAGGCGGCGCGGGGGTTCGCTACGAATGAAGGTTCTAGAAAATAAATCCCGGGTATATACAGATGGAGGTCCCGTTTTCCGCCGGTGCACAGATCCTTCTTGACCAGCAGCATCTTGCTGAAGGTCACGTGGTCTGCCTTTAGAACTATCCCGTACACGTAGCAGTAGTCACGTGACCGGTAGAGCTCGTTGATGACCGGAAACTCCAAGCGGGAAGCGACCAATGGCTCGTCTGGTGCGTCCAGGCGCGTGACGCTGGCCCTGATGTCATCGAGCCAGATGGTGACCCGCATGACCATCGCATGCACGTCCAGGCTGTCCCTCCTGACGGGGTCTCTCAGGACGTCCAGCATCAGTCCCCGCAGGACGTCCGTGTTTTGGTGGCTGACGACGTCCATCACAACATTGCCGGCAGGCGTGTCGTATGCGTTGATGTGGTGGAGGGAAAACACAGAGGGGGGCGTGACCTTGACGGCGGTGACCTTCCCCGTGGACAAGGTTATGACGTACAAGACAGACGGCTCGTGTGGGAGCCACTCGAAGCACTCAAATGGAGCCGCGGTGGCCAGGATACAGGCCGCACCCTTCAGGTAGAGCGGGCTGACCATCACGACGGCTCTGGTCAGGGTCAGGGAGAAGCTGTGCAGGTAGACGACCTTGTGACCCACTGGCCAGCACGAGATCCGCTCGCGATCCACGGGTGACGTCATTCTGAGAAGACAGAGCTCGTGCTCTATGCCTGGCACCAGGGAGACCCGGGTCACCACGGTCAAGGTCTTGTGGGTGCCGGGCTCCACCAGCGGGTGGGCGACAGACATCAGATCGATGAACCCGACCCTAGACAGGTCTGGTGGCGCCATCGTCATTTTTTCAACAGAGCCTTGTGTTTCCACCTTAGGCTGTGGGAAAAATGTCCTCGTGTTTTCAAACGTTAGAGTTGCATCCTTGTCAGCCATCAAGCCGGTGTGAGACTGCATGCGTGTACCTGGCTTCACTTCCGGTTCACGACCTGAGAGAACCACATCCGGTTCACGACCTGAGAGAACCACATCCGGTTCACGACCTGAGACAACCACATCCCGTTCGGGCTGTACCAGCTTTAGAGTCGACAGATCGTCTAAAGAAATCTCGTACATCCGCGGGCTGTCCGTGAGCGCCATCACGTGATCATCTTTGACCCCGTGACCCCTGAGGCGGCAGACGTTGACGTTCATGTTGTCCATCGACCTCCAGACAGCGACCAGTTTTTCCCACCTAGAGAAGGCCGGCTGGGGCTGGGCCAGCAACAAAGATGGCGCCAGTTTGCCGGCAGACCGTGACCGGTTGAGCCATGTGGAGTAAATAAACCGGGTGGAGAAAAGCGCCGTGTCGCCACCGTCCAGCCTCCAGCTCGCCAGCTTGGCGAACCCGTCAAAGAGGTGACTCATCCGACTCTCCCCCATCTCGAACTTTCCAGGACCGTTGCGCACCTGGTCAGGTAACAGAAACAGAAAATTTTTATTTGAGACAAGTGGCAAAATCAAAACTTGTTTATTAACTTGTAATTGAACAAAGCAATACTATTTCACAAGAGTAAGTGATTTAAACTCGATATGTAGTGTAACATAGTATAGCTAAGCGCAAGATGCATATATATATATATATATATATATATATATATATATATATATATATATATATATATATATATATATATATATATATATATATATATATATAAGGGTTGGGAAGGCACTTCCGTTTAAATGGAGCTATAGGATGGGTAGGTAAGCTTGTGACACAAGCGCTCGTTTATCGAGAAAATCAGGAAAGGTCAAAGGGCTTTGCAGTATGCTGCATTATGGGAACATGGTATACAATTCTGAACGTTTTTGAGGAATCCGCTTATGTAAATATGCTCTGAAAAGTTACTAGAAACCATTCCAATAGTATCTAATATTAGGATCCAATACTCAAAAAGGAAATTGCGTCCACTGAATAATGCTCGAATTATTGTGCTTACACACACACACACACACACACTAACACACACACACACACATACATACATACACACACAAGATTGCTAAACTGTTTTATTTTTTATTTTATTTTTTGACAAAGGAATGTGAAATACATTGAGATTTGACAAAATCGATATCGAATTTTTTTTCACAATTGCGATACTTCCCGTCTACCATTACATTACTTCCCCTGCACTGCGTATAAAAATAATGCAAAACGTGATTATACGATGTAATGAAATATAAAAGTCACTGTTATAAAGTGGTTTCACTTAATTAAATTAGCCCAAAAATTGATGACAACACTTTTGTCTCCAAGTAATAGCAAAATAGTTGAGACACTATGGTGACCCTGGAACAAGACAGGTGAGACAGAATGGTGACCCTGGAACAAAACAGGTGAGACACTATGGTGACCCTGGAACAAAACAGGTGAGACACTATGGTGACCCTGGAACAAAACAGGTGAGACACTATGGTGACCCTGGAACAAGACAGGTGAGACACTATGGTGACCCTGGAACAAGACAGGTGAGACAGAATGGTGACCCTGGAACAAGACAGGTGAGACACTATGGTGACCCTGGAACAAGACAGGTGAGACACTATGGTGACCCTGGAACAAGACAGGTGAGACACTATGGTGACCCTGGAACAAGACAGGTGAGACACTATGGTGACCCTGGAACAAGACAGGTGAGACAGAATGGTGACCCTGGAACAAAACAGGTGAGACACTATGGTGACCCTGGAACAAAACAGGTGAGACACTATGGTGACCCTGGAACAAAACAGGTGAGACGCTATGGTGACCCTGGAACAAGACAGGTGAGACACTATGGTGACCCTGGAACAAAACAGGTGAGACACTATGGTGACCCTGGAACAAAACAGGTGAGACGCTATGGTGACCCTGGAACAAAACAGGTGAGACACTATGGTGACCCTGGAACAAAACAGGTGAGACGCTATGGTGACCCTGGAACAAAACAGGTGAGACACTATGGTGACCCTGGAACAAGAGAGGTGAGACACTATGGTGACCCTGGAACAAGACAGGTGAGACACTATGGTGACCCTGGAACAAAACAGGTGAGACACTATGGTGACCCTGGAACAAGAGAGGTGAGACGCTATGGTGACCTTGGAACAAGACAGATGAGACACTATGGTAACTCGACCCTAGAACAAGACAGATGAGACACTATGGTAACTCGACCCTGGAACAAAACAGGTGAGACACTGTGGTGACCCTGGAACAAGACAGGTGAGACACTGTGGTGACCCTGGAACAAGACAGGTGAGACACTATGGTGACCCTGGAACAAAACAGGTGAGACACTATGGTGACCCTGGAACAAGACAGGTGAGACACTATGGTGACCCTGGAACAAAACAGGTGAGACACTATGGTGACCCTGGAACAAGAGAGGTGAGACACTGTGGTGACCCTGGAACAAGACAGGTGAGACACTATGGTGACCCTGGAACAAGACAGGTGAGACACTGTGGTGACCCTGGAACAAAACAGGTGAGACACTATGGTGACCCTGGAACAAGACAGGTGAGACACTATGGTGACCCTGGAACAAGAGAGGTGAGACACTATGGTGACCCTGGAACAAGACAGGTGAGACACTATGGTGACCCTGGAACAAGACAGGTGAGACACTATGGTGACCCTGGAACAAAACAGGTGAGACACTATGGTGACCCTGGAACAAGAGAGGTGAGACGCTATGGTGACCTTGGAACAAGACAGATGAGACACTATGGTAACTCGACCCTAGAACAAGACAGATGAGACACTATGGTAACTCGACCCTGGAACAAAACAGGTGAGACACTGTGGTGACCCTGGAACAAGACAGGTGAGACACTATGGTGACCCTGGAACAAGAGAGGTGAGACACTATGGTGACCCTGGAACAAGACAGGTGAGACACTATGGTGACCCTGGAACAAAACAGGTGAGACACTATGGTGACCCTGGAACAAGACAGGTGAGACACTATGGTGACCCTGGAACAAAACAGGTGAGACACTATGGTGACCCTGGAACAAGAGAGGTGAGACGCTATGGTGACCTTGGAACAAGACAGATGAGACACTATGGTAACTCGACCCTAGAACAAGACAGATGAGACACTATGGTAACTCGACCCTGGAACAAAACAGGTGAGACACTGTGGTGACCCTGGAACAAGACAGGTGAGACACTGTGGTGACCCTGGAACAAGACAGGTGAGACACTATGGTGACCCTGGAACAAGACAGGTGAGACACTGTGGTGACCCTGGAACAAAACAGGTGAGACACTATGGTGACCCTGGAACAAGAGAGGTGAGACACTATGGTGACCCTGGAACAAGACAGGTGAGACACTGTGGTGACCCTGGAACAAAACAGGTGAGACACTATGGTGACCCTGGAACAAGACAGGTGAGACACTATGGTGACCCTGGAACAAAACAGGTGAGACACTATGGTGACCCTGGAACAAGAGAGGTGAGACACTATGGTGACCCTGGAACAAGAGAGGTGAGACACTATGGTGACCCTGGAACAAAACAGGTGAGACACTATGGTGACCCTGGAACAAGACAGGTGAGACACTATGGTGACCCTGGAACAAAACAGGTGAGACACTATGGTGACCCTGGAACAAAACAGGTGAGACACTGTGGTGACCCTGGAACAAGACAGGTGAGACACTGTGGTGACCCTGGAACAAAACAGGTGAGACACTATGGTGACCCTGGAACAAGACAGGTGAGACGCTATGGTGACCCTGGAACAAAACAGGTGAGACACTATGGTGACCCTGGAACAAGACAGGTGAGACACTATGGTGACCCTGGAACAAAACAGGTGAGACACTATGGTGACCCTGGAACAAGAGAGGTGAGACGCTATGGTGACCTTGGAACAAGACAGATGAGACACTATGGTAACTCGACCCTAGAACAAGACAGATGAGACACTATGGTAACTCGACCCTGGAACAAAACAGGTGAGACACTGTGGTGACCCTGGAACAAGACAGGTGAGACACTGTGGTGACCCTGGAACAAGACAGGTGAGACACTATGGTGATCCTGGAACAAGACAGGTGAGACACTGTGGTGACCCTGGAACAAAACAGGTGAGACACTATGGTGACCCTGGAACAAGAGAGGTGAGACACTATGGTGACCCTGGAACAAGACAGGTGAGACACTGTGGTGACCCTGGAACAAAACAGGTGAGACACTATGGTGACCCTGGAACAAGAGAGGTGAGACACTATGGTGACCCTGGAACAAGACAGGTGAGACACTATGGTGACCCTGGAACAAGAGAGGTGAGACACTATGGTGACCCTGGAACAAGAGAGGTGAGACACTATGGTGACCCTGGAACAAAACAGGTGAGACACTATGGTGACCCTGGAACAAGACAGGTGAGACACTATGGTGACCCTGGAACAAAACAGGTGAGACACTATGGTGACCCTGGAACAAGACAGGTGAGACACTATGGTGACCCTGGAACAAAACAGGTGAGACACTATGGTGACCCTGGAACAAGAGAGGTGAGACACTATGGTGACCCTGGAACAAGAGAGGTGAGACACTATGGTGACCCTGGAACAAAACAGGTGAGACACTATGGTGACCCTGGAACAAGACAGGTGAGACACTATGGTGACCCTGGAACAAAACAGGTGAGACACTATGGTGACCCTGGAACAAAACAGGTGAGACACTGTGGTGACCCTGGAACAAGACAGGTGAGACACTGTGGTGACCCTGGAACAAAACAGGTGAGACACTATGGTGACCCTGGAACAAGACAGGTGAGACGCTATGGTGACCCTGGAACAAGACAGGTGAGACACTATGGTAACTCGACCCTGGAACAAAACAGGTGAGACACTATGGTGACCCTGGAACAAAACAGGTGAGACACTATGGTGACCCTGGAACAAGACAGGTGAGACACTATGGTGACCCTGGAACAAGACAGGTGAGACACTATGGTGACCCTGGAACAAAACAGGTGAGACACTATGGTGACCCTGGAACAAGAGAGGTGAGACGCTATGGTGACCTTGGAACAAGACAGATGAGACACTATGGTAACTCGACCCTAGAACAAGACAGATAAGACACTATGGTAACTCGACCCTGGAACAAAACAGGTGAGACGCTATGGTGACCCTGGAACAAGACAGGTGAGACACTATGGTAACTCGACCCTGGAACAAAACAGGTGAGACACTGTGGTGACCCTGGAACAAAACAGGTGAGACGCTATGGTGACCTTGGAACAAGACAGATGAGACACTATGGTAACTCGACCCTAGAACAAGAGAGGTGAGACACTGTGGTGACCCTGGAACAAAACAGGTGAGACACTGTGGTGACCCTGGAACAAAACAGGTGAGACACTATGGTGACCCTGGAACAAGACAGGTGAGACACTATGGTGACCCTGGAACAAAACAGGTGAGACACTATGGTGACCCTGGAACAAAACAGGTGAGACACTATGGTGACCCTGGAACAAGAGAGGTGAGACACTGTGGTGACCCTGGAACAAGACAGGTGAGACACTATGGTGACCCTGGAACAAGACAGGTGAGACACTATGGTGACCCTGGAACAAGACAGGTGAGACACTGTGGTGACCCTTTAACAAGACAGGTGAGTCACTGTGGTGACCCTGGAACAAAACAGGTGAGACACTATGGTGACCCTGGAACAAAACAGGTGAGACGCTATGGTGACCCTGGAACAAGACAGGTGAGACACTATGGTGACCCTGGAACAAAACAGGTGAGACGCTATGGTGACCCTGGAACAAGACAGGTGAGACACTATGGTGACCCTGGAACAAGACAGGTGAGACACTATGGTGACCCTGGAACAAGAGAGGTGAGACACTATGGTGACCCTGGAACAAAACAGGTGAGACACTATGGTGACCTTGGAACAAGACAGGTGAGACACTATGGTGACCCTGGAACAAGACAGGTGAGACGCTATGGTGACCCTGGAACAAGACAGGTGAGACCCTATGGTGACCCTGGAACAAGACAGGTGAGACACTATGGTGACCCTGGAACAAGACAGGTGAGACACTATGGTGACCCTGGAACAAGACAGGTGAGACACTATGGTGACCCTGGAACAAGACAGGTGAGACACTATGGTGACCCTGGAACAAGACAGGTGAGACACTGTGGTGACCCTGGAACAAAACAGGTGAGACACTATGGTGACCCTGGAACAAGACAGGTGAGACGCTATGGTGACCCTGGAACAAGACAGGTGAGACACTATGGTGACCCTGGAACAAGACAGGTGAGACACTATGGTGACCCTGGAACAAGACAGGTGAGACACTGTGGTGACCCTGGAACAAAACAGGTGAGACACTATGGTGACCCTGGAACAAGACAGGTGAGACACTATGGTGACCCTGGAACAAGACAGGTGAGACACTATGGTGACCCTGGAACAAAACAGGTGAGACGCTATGGTGACCCTGGAACAAGACAGGTGAGACACTATGGTGACCCTGGAACAAGACAGGTGAGACACTATGGTGACCCTGGAACAAGACAGGTGAGACAGAATGGTGACCCTGGAACAAAACAGGTGAGACACTATGGTGACCCTGGAACAAAACAGGTGAGACACTATGGTGACCCTGGAACAAGACAGGTGAGACACTATGGTGACCCTGGAACAAGACAGGTGAGACACTGTGGTGACCCTTTAACAAGACAGGTGAGTCACTGTGGTGACCCTTTAACAAGACAGGTGAGTCACTGTGGTGACCCTGGAACAAAACAGGTGAGACACTGTGGTGACCCTTTAACAAGACAGGTGAGACACTGTGGTGACCCTTTAACAAGACAGGTGAGTCACTGTGGTGACCCTGGAACAAGACAGGTGAGACACTGTGGTGACCCTGGAACAAAACAGGTGAGACACTATGGTGACCCTGGAACAAGACAGGTGAGACACTGTGGTGACCCTTTAACAAGACAGGTGAGTCACTGTGGTGACCCTGGAACAAAACAGGTGAGACACTATGGTGACCCTTTAACAAGACAGGTGAGACACTGCGGTCACCCTGGAACAAAACAGGTGAGACACTGTGGTGACCCTGGAACAAAACAGGTGAGACACTAGAGGATCATCGTCAGCTAGAAGAGCTCCACCTGTGAAATGTTTTCTAAATGCTCTCTCGTAGATCCTGGGTTTTAAAAGAACTTTTGTCTCCGTCTTTTTTCAGTAACATGCCATTATTCTCTTATTGTTTAGACAACGTACAAACCTCAAGTTTAATCGAGGATTCTGCGGCGTGTCAAAAAAATCAACTTTCCAAAGTGTGAAATAATCAACTTGCAAAGTGTGAAATAATCAACTTACCAAAGTGTGAAATAATCAACTTACCAAAGTGTAAAATAATCAACTTACCAAAGTGTGAAATAATCAACTTACCAAAGTTTGAAATAATCAACTTACCAAAGTGTGAAATAATCAACTTACCAAAGTGTGAAATAATCAACTTACCAAAGTGTGAAATAATCAACTTACCAAAGTGTGAAATTATCAACTTACCAAAGTATAAAATAATCAACTTACCAAAGTGTGAAATTATCAACTTACCAAAGTATGAAATAATCAACTTACCAAAGTGTGAAATTATCAAGTTATCAAAGTGTGAAATAATCAAGTTACCAAAGTGTGAAATAATCAAGTTATCAAAGTGTGAAATAATCAAGTTACCAAAGTGTGAAATAATCAAGTTACCAAAGTGTGAAATAATCAACTTACCAAAGTGTGAAATAATCAACTTACCAAAGCGCCTTGAACCCACGATGGATAAGGATGACTCATCTTGACCGAGGCGTTGAGAAACTCGTGGTCGTTTGACACGAAGAGCAACTCAAATCCGGTGTCGTCTGTCGCGCTAAAATTGTAGGAACTGTTGGTTCCACTGTCGCAGGCACCGACACAGGCACTGTCGCAGGCACTGAACAGGTACAACAGAACACACCCACCCAGCAGAGACCTCACAGCACAGGTCAGTGGACCCCGGGTGACCATGTTGATCCCTGACTTTACGGCATCAAATTGTGACTTTTTCGTGTGAATGTTGAGATATCCACGTCATAAAATTGTAAATTATAAATGTGAAGTTTCAGAGATCCACTCCATAAACCTGTGACTTATAAATGTGAAGTTTCAGAGATCCACGTCATAAAACTGTGAATTGTTGTTGTGAAGTTTGAGAGATCCACTGCATAAAAACTGTGAATTGTAAATGTGAAGTTTGAGCGACCCATGTCACATATGTTGGACTGTTAAAGAATGTTTATGCAATACAGGATGAGGCATCTGTTGGTTTGCACACTGCATATCAAGGGGGGGGGGGGGGGGGGGGAATTAGCATTAGAAAAATGTAGGCGGGTAATCTTCGTGCATGTGAGGGAGTAATCTTTTTAATAGTTCAGCTTAATCTTTGTACGGTATGTGACGGACTAGTCTAGTTTAATCTTTGCCCAGTATGAGAATAGTTTAGTTTAATCTTTGCCCAGTATGAGAATAGTTTAATCTGTGTGGTCTTTGTCCAGTATATGGATAGTTCAGTTTAATCTTTGTCCATAAAATCTTACAATGTCAAAAATTGATTAGAAAGACAAAACAAAACAAAAAACGTAGCTCACATGGGTAAAGTATACAGTACCCATAAGACCCAAAGTATTTGAGCTTAGTTATTAAAAATTTATAGTTTAACAGCAAAAATATAATGAGCGCAACATTTAAAACAGCACTAAATAACTTCTAAATTGTATATTTAAAAATATAATATTTTCAAAGTTTCCTGAATCTCCACCTCACCCCCCCCCACCACCACCCCGGGGCAGAAATCCTCCCGAAAGACATCTAGGAAAAAAACTTACCTGACATATTGCAACCAAACTCTAACTAGCCCTAACAGCAACCTCCCTGCAACCTGTTGTTCAATCCATTTATCGTACAGCCGGCTCGAGTTTTTTATACCCTCTTGTAAGTCCGCGAGTTTAGTACTAGTACAGGTACACTTGCGAGTGACGCGATGTTTATGACTTTGTTTACTAGCGAAGTACTTTAGTAGAGTTAGAGGATATTAACCAGTGACGTCAGAGAGGGGGTGGGGTAGAGGCGTGTCGGTTAGATAATAGACAATTTAGTTCTTATCCCCCCACGCCCCCCCCCCCCTCCCCACGCATATTGAATGAATTTTAACAATATTCTGCAAGATAGATTTTTTAAACCTGGGAAGTTACCTAAAAGTGTTTAATCATACTACAGAAAAAAAAACCTTTCATATATTATGTTTCATTCTCCTTCTCTCTTCTTTTGTTGACTTCCTGAAGAGCAAAGGACATTGACCCCACTCTATCATCGAGCCTGGCTGGGTACCTGGGCCATACCACAAAATGTGATACGTCGATGTGACAAAGTGTAATAGTGCAATGTGACGCAGTGTGATAGGACGATGTGACACAATGTGATAGATGTGACACAGTGTGATAGGACGATGTGACAAGTGTGATAAGGCAGTGTGACGCAGAGCTGTCAAAACTTCGGAGATGAGCACAGCGACAAGATGTTTAACAAGATGTGCTGCAGAACGTACGGCAAGATGTACCACATGACGTACGGCATAACTAGAGCAACAAGTCACAGCTGGGTATTCTGGGAGGTGAGGGGGTGGTAAGGCGATTGAGCGCTTCGAGGTTCAGTCGACACCCACCGACAATAGATCCATCATCAGATATCTCAAGAGAAACTTGAGACACACCCACAGCTTAAGTTTCTCTGATTAACGGCTGTTAGACATCGATACTGATGGGTCAATGGTCATAACAATAACAAATTTTACAAACATAAAAAAGCAAGCACTCATTTTATATATATATATATATATATATATATATATATATATATATATATATATATATATATATATATATATATATATATATATATATATAAGGATTCAGCTCACACGATAAGATCATAAAAGGAATATTGAATTGTCAATTTTCCTGGAAAATGACCATTCAATATTTGTATTATAAAAATAACATACGGAAAAGAATTACATTTGATTTAGCTCAGTGTGTACTTGAATACAACGAAACACGTGTTACCTGATCTATATATAGGCTTGGTGTGTAACAAAGTGATGACAACCATACCTAATGTTTACAACTGAATGTTTTCTGTTCTATAAATAAACTGGAAGACCTGATTGAATTGGAGGCGGAGTTGGAAACAATCGGTCTACACCTGGGTAGTTTTATCTCGAGTCAAACGGAATGATTTATTTCTTGAGACAATGTAAGCCATGCATTTGAATTGTAACGGATCAGAGGCGTAGCGACCCCTCCCGGTGCCCGGGGACAAACTTTCGATTTGCACCACCCTCAAACTTTTGATTTGCATTTGCACCCCCCCCCCCTTCAAACTTTTGATTTGCACCCCCTCCCTCAAACTTTCGATTACTTTTTCCAACCCATTTTGGCGCCCCCTAAGGTCCCCCCTGCCCCCCCCCCCCCATCGCTACGCCTCTGTAACGGATGTTTTATTAAAAGCTAATTAAGCACTATCTGTTTTAGGACAATATAGTTTTCGTAACATACGAGTTGTCTAGCAGATCTTTAGCTGAATCTGTAACAGATAGATCTTGCATGTCCTACGAAAGTAGTTAAATTTTTAGGCTCCAGTTCTAGGGTATAACTCTAAAATTATTATTAAGTGTAATCTCTACAAATTATAAAAAAAAATTTCAAAAAGCTTGACAACAGACTAAAAAGGTTTGGTTTAATATCGCCAAATTTAAAACTTCTATCTAAACTATATTGTAAATACGATCTGGCCTTTAGGTCAAAACATTTTGTGTCATGTAACTCATATCACAAGGTTTACATCGCTGATAATCCAAGTCCAACTGACGGTGATATTGACATTGTGATATTTATTACTTTGTGGAATCAGCCACTACAAGCATGAAACATATATGTTGGAATAGGAATAGGCTTGAAGAGATTGTTAATTTTTCTACAGCTAGGTTATATGGTTTAAAATCAACGCATGCGAACACAGCAACACTTTGTATAATCTCGAGGTAGGGCTAACTTGACATGTCAAGTTGACGTATGCCACTTTTTTCCCCAAGGGAAAATCTCACTATTCTTGCATTTGAAATAAAATTAAGCTTTTATTATCTCAGGGTTTAAACATTCATTTACATTGTAAAAATAAAATAAAAATCGGTAAAAAGTCACATTTATTATAATTAAAAAAATTTGGGGTCCCTAAAATTCAATAATGCGGGATTTATCCTTCATGGTCATATCAGTTTTAAGATCAAGTACCGTAATAATTACGATATTTAAAATTTAAGCTTTCATGTGTGTGATTTGATTTGTATGAGTTTTTAAATAGACGATCAAACCACTTGTAAGTCAAACAATTAATAAATCATTTAAGTTTATGGCAGGGATTTCCGTTTTAAGTGAAAATGTCAGAGCGGTGACACCTGATGTCACTACTGGGGGCTGGGTGCTTTAGTGAAAATATTTAATGAGGAGATTTTTTTGTTTGGTAATTTGTTTGGTAATCGTGTTATTTGGTTATCCGACGACCATTTGACTAGCAAAAATAAAATCCAATATAAAATACAATTTTAGTCACTATCGTTTGTAAAAGATAATTTAGGAATGGGCTTTGAAATTGGGGGCCTTGTGTTATTGCTCTGGCAGCCCTCACCTTAATCCGCCACTGAGTTTAAATACTAGATTTGCACCGAGTTGTATCGTGGTAGTGTGTAAGTGTACGACACTGTATAGTGACTAGAGTCCTAACAACGGAGTCAAAAAGACAAGTCATAGAACATTGGTGGCCGGGTAAATGTGCAAATTTTCTCTCTTTTCTAGCCATTATCTGTGATCGATTCTTTCCCAGACATCTACGTCATTAGCATCCAGCCAAAAGCTGGACGTTCTTAGACTTTTTCTTCTGACATTGTTTTCTCATATATATTTTTTTTGAGGAGGGGGGAAGGGGTGGATGTTAAGAGAAAACCGAGTGGCGAGCCATTCTTGATCTTCGAGGATGGAGTGGAGGGAGGGGGGTCGTTCTTTGACACTCGATTCGTCTCTCTGGTTATCACTTAATTGGTCATTTCTAGACGTCCTCCCTGGCAGCCACATGCCTCCTGGTCAGCTTCAGTCCTCTCTATCCCCTGTCCTCCCTATCCCGTTCAGTCCTCCCTATCCCCTGTCCTCCCTATCCCGTTCAGTCCTCCCTATCCCCTGTCCTCCCTATCCCGTTCAGTCCTCCCTATCCCCTGTCCTCCCTATCCCGTTCAGTCCTCCCTATTCCCTGTCCTCCCTATCCCGTTCAGTCCTCCCTATCCCCTGTCCTCCCTATCCCGTTCAGTCCTCCCTATCCCCTGTCCTCCCTATCCCGTTCAGTCCTCCCTATCCCCTGTCCTCCCTATCCCGTTCAGTCCTCCCTATCCCCTGTCCTCCCTATCCCGTTCAGTCCTCCCTATTCCCTGTCCTCCCTATCCCGTTCAGTCCTCCCTATCCCCTGTCCTCCCTATCCCGTTCAGTCCTCCCTATCCCCTGTCCTCCCTATCCCGTTCAGTCCTCCCTATCCCCTGTCCTCCCTATCCCGTTCAGTCCTCCCTATTCCCTGTCCTCCCTATCCCGTTCAGTCCTCCCTATCCCTTCATCCCCTCAGTCCTCCCTATCCCCTCAGTCCTCCCTATCCCCTCACTCCTCCCTATCCCCTCAGTCCTCCCTATCCCCTCAGTCCTCCCTATCCCCTCACTCCTCCCTATCCCCTCAGTCCTCCCTATCCCCTCACTCCTCCCTATCCCCTCAGTCCTATCCCGTTCAGTCCTCCATAAACCAGCACTCCACCCTATCCCCCCCCCCCCCCCCCCCCATCCACTGGTGTTCTTATGTTTATGTGACCTATGGGTCTACTTAAATTGAGTTCTACAGGCGACCTGTCTAACCATTCAGCTAAAATATTTCTACAACGTGAAGTTCTTCTTCCAGACTTTTTTCTCCGGGGGGTGGGGGAGGGGGGGGGGCTTTTGAAATTTTCGGGGGGGGGGGGGGGGGCGGACACTAGTAAAAGTGTATGTTTACT